GGAATGATACGCTTTCTGAGGATTCTAAGTCACCCATTAATGGAATTTTAACAAAGTCATTTTCATTGAAAGTTTTCTTTTTATTCTCTTCATTTTTTATTGATCTCTGAATAATTTGCACGATATATTGTTGATTATCTTGTGTTACAGAGTTTGGAGTTGTCTTAATAGTTCTGTGGTAAGAGTTGTTGTAATTATTAACAATGTTTTGTAAGTCATCAATGTATCGATGTGTATGTTTATGGTAAATGAAACGGTATATACGAGAACGTAATGTTCGTATTAAACGTTCAGCTGAAGCACATTTTATTGAAGCGTCAGTTGTCGTGAAATAATGCACACCCTGAGATGTGCAAAAAAATTTAAACCTGTTATTGTTGAATTCTCGTCCTTGGTCCGTTTGTAGTTTTTCAGGCTTTCTTCCTGAAGAAAAAATTTCAGAAAAAGCATTTATGATTGTGGGTGCTGCTTTATCTCTACACGGTTGTATCCATGCAAATCTACTCAGTATATCAATCACAACAAGTAAATGATTGACTCCATCGTTTTGCCCTGACCAATAGGACATGTCCATAAGATCTGCTTGCCATTGCTCATCGATTCTATCAACCAATACAGCTAGCCTTTGAAAGTTTTTCCGTCGTACCCGAAAGTTTGTATACGTTTCTTGCTTCATCAACCATTGTTTTACATCATTGTATTCAATCGATGGGTCATGCTCCTTCGCAACTCTATAAAGTCTTTTAGCACCTCCGAAACTACCGTGACTATCCAAGTCATAATAAAGCCGTTTCAAAAGTTCTTCACGTTGGTCCAATTGAGTGTCTGACATTTCACAACTTTGTTATCCTTTTTAGGTCTTTTAGATAATTTCTTTTCATATTTTTGGACCGCTTTTCTAAAGCTTTCTTTATATTCATTTAATTTAATTTCAGGATCAGTTTTATTCTTTTCAATTTTCGCAACTCTTGCCTGTTCAGCAACAGGGGTCACAGTATCATCATTTTTAAGGTCACTTTTGAGAAGATGATATTCTTTTTCTGGAATTAATACCATTTTATTCATTACATTCATTGTATAAATTTATCTGCCAACTTTCCACCTAGATAAGATATTGCTGGCCAAAGTAGTGCAGGTAAGAAAGCACCACCGCTTTGTAAAATTATTTCTTTTCTAGCTTTCAGGGGAATACTTTTTCTTGAGAGTTTTCGAAGTTCAAGCTTGTAGGGGGCAAGTTTTGCCTTTGATGAGTCTTGAACTGGTATATTTCCGTTGAGTGTGTTTTTACTTATTTCAGAGATAGAATAAAATATGCAAGATTTTGCTTTAGCTAAAAGTTTTTCTCTTTGCTTCCTTGTCTTGGCTTTAGCAAGTTTTTTTAATGTCGGAAGACACTTTTTAACACCTTCAATCGACATTTATGTTGTATACAAAAATTATTTAACCTTTATATAATTTATATCACATACGTATACATGGGTTTATCATGTTCATTGAAAACATTCGTTAATAACCTTATTTTTTCAGCTGTATCAGGTTTAAGATCAATAAAAAGATAAGAATATGGCCCCTGAGTCGCATCTTCATAGGCGGCCTGAAATTTCTTTATTTTTGTCGGAAACATTTGACGTCCTATGTTTGTAATCATAGATTTATCACGCGGGTTTTTAAAACATACAACATATTGACTATTGAGACTTATATTTCGACTCTCTTTTCCTTTCATGAAAAAGTTTTGAGTAATTAAAATTACAGAAATATTTCTATGATGTGACCCTTTGGTAAACAAGTTACTAACAAAAGTTTGATTAACTGCCTCTAGCATCAAATCGTCTATAACTAACCACTGTGGCTCATCATTACCGAGTTCATTAACTATTTCTTCTTGTAGTCCTTCAATGAATTTCACTTCATTCATTGAATTGAACATTTTTTGATACTCTCCATAAAGATAAGTGATAGACTTTGGAGGTGGATCACAAATATATGCCGCTTTGTTGATCATGTCTCTAATGAAATAAGTTTTACCAGAACCAGTTGGTCCTGCTATTAGCATTGTAAAAGGATGTTTCAAATAAACAGAGACAGACATTTTTATTGAAAAAAAAAAATTATTTTTATTGTTTTATATTGAAATTTTCAGGTTACAACTGATGAGGGATTAGAGGGTGTTTGTATTACATTTTCCGATTTGAAAGATCCCAATTTTGGATTCGGAAGCAAATAACCGAGGGAGGATCCGAGCACAGCCGTCCAAAGTGGTAAATTACCAGTTTTAAGTACAATATTAGTAATTGCTGTTATAAGCATTGCAATTAATACGATTAATTGTACAGAAAAGAGTACTTTTTTGTACCACATTCGATGATAATCAGCTGGAGACATATCCATTGTTGCAATTTTGATAAATGCATGCAAATCGTTATCTTTATATTGGCTTCAGTCTTATGTTATAGTCAAATTCATCACAGTAATGATACACCGATTCATAATTTTTCAAACCTGTTATTATAACTTTTCCTGATCTGAAAATGATGAAAGTAACGTTTGAATTATCAAGTTTAAGGTTTATGCCCGGAAAAAGTTCAGGTTCATAAGTGGCTCCAGGATGAAGTATTAATTTCTGATAATCAAAGTCTCCAACAATCATTGAGGTGGCAGTAATGTTTACGATTCTGTATGCTGTAACACGAACCTCAGCGGAGTATTTTGAGCAAAAACGATCAATCAGTAAAAATGATGTTGAAATATTTTGTACTCCGGTAATGTTTATCTTTCCCGAATCGAAAATCAAGAGACAACCGTCGGGATATTTCATTATACCTCCCGAAAAAGATTTTGTGTACTTGATAAAGGGAAAATTTTGTTTAATTAGTTCTCGAGAAAGTTTAGAGTTTAAAGTAAAAGATGTTACAATGTTAGCAATATAAACGTTTTCTTGCAGGTATTGCATGATGAATGAAACTTATTCAATGAGTTTCAGTCTAAATACCCCTTTTATTTCTGCACGACATATAGGACAACTAGCGATACCTGGTGCACATTTGATACAAGTGACACAATGATCGCAAGGGTAAAAACAGGCGCCAATTTCTTTTTCCAGGCAAACCTTACATGTATATCGACTTTCTGTTGGCTCAACCAGTGATGAATCTTGTGTTTGTATCGGTTCATTTTTAAGACATGAATCAATGAAACTTTTCCCACATCTAATGTAAATGAATGTGCACCAAGGAGAAAACTTTGCATGCGAAACCCAAGGATTTTCAGCAGAAAGCCAGTCACATATATGTACCCCACAATGGAAACATGCAACAATGTCTAATTTTTTAGTGTAGTAAAAACCAGCTTCAGCTAATGCAGTCGAGGATATATTTGTATTTATCCAATCTCCGTACGTTGACAATCTGCTTGCAAGTGTGATATAATCTGGATACTCAGCATCGACATGCCGTGCAAAACATCCAGAAGGAGATCTTTGATTGAAAATCATCCTTGCTGAAGTAACTCGAGGGCGGATTGTGGCTATGAGTGATGAGGATTCGAAATTGTTTCGACCATCTGAAATGGTTGCAACGGGGATAGTATTCATTTCACTTCGAGGGTAAACTTGTGATATGTCAAGTATCAATTCTAAAGCAGGTAACTCTTCTTCATCGTTCCCAAACATCATCTTTGAGATATTGGGTACGAATGACAAACAAACAAATCGCAATTGTCTTTTTATAGTGGAAAAGGATTGTAATCTTAGTTAAGTCACGCTATACGCTTCCGGAATTATTTGTTCCGCTCTAAACAAACTGCACATACAAATTACTGTAAAATGGCATTATTCAGTTCGTTGATCTAGTAAAATTGATACAATTGTGCAACGGTGAGTAGCAAAACTAATTATTTCACATTGAACTAAGTATCATTATTCAGTTCGCTGATTGCATTTGGTGCAATTGATACATTTGTTTAGCCAAGAATGACGTAAAACAATTAGCTTGACTTTATTTAGTTCAAAAGTATCATTATTTAATCAACAAAGCATAAACTAATTGCAAACAATTAATCTTAAACTTGAACTTACATAATTGTTTCATAAAGTTCAAAAATAGTTCCGCATTAATTACCATGGGCATTGAACTTAATCAATAATTTAATGGTCAGTTTTATTAATTAAATATCGATTAAAAGTGAGTTATCTTGTGTATGAGTTATCTTGTGTATCTGTACTACTACTTTGATAAATTTTCTTCTATTAACATTCTATTTAAAGAGTTATATAGAGTAAAGTTGAACCTGATGAACGAATATGTGTATCATGTGCATCTGAAAGGGAAAAGATTTGTTGGTGAAAGAATTTGATTCTGAAGAAGAAAAAAAAGTATAAAGAGAAAAGTGACATTGAAAGGAGTAGAGAAGGAAAAAATTGTTACAAAAACAAGAACAAGTGTAAGTTGGCGTAAAATTTTGTCTTTTTTCTTGTTGATTGAAAATTTGACAAAAAAAGAGGAAAAGATAAGTTTATTTGAAGAGACTTTTCTTTCTGAATTTCTCATGAATCGTGAATCCATATAAATCTTGTTCTACCATCATCAGCCATGTATTTCCCCTTGAATATCATTTCTTGCTCCTCTTCACTACGCATCCTTTACTCAACCATTAAACAATCAAAAGACTCTTTAACTGCCAATTTCACTCCCAGAATTTAATTTTACTCAATATTATCTTGCACTTTCCCTATCATCCAACATCAGCCTTTCCTCTTCTCTTGATGATAAACATTTTCCAATCTCACTATCATGCTCAATCCCGAGTTAAACTTGAATGAATCTCACACTCCCAGGCAACAACAATATTCTTGGAGCATATTCTTTCCTCCCAATTCATCTTGTAACTCACATTTTTCTCATCATCATCATCATCATCATCCTGATTCTTGTTTCTCTATTTTCTCCTCTGAGTGTTGCAAGCATGTATTCTGAAATGGGAACAACAATATTGAACATCCGTTCCAAGTGAACATCATCGGTAAAGATAACAACAATATCGATAAACATATTTATATTGAATAACGTTTTGTGTGTGTATTTTCATCGCATCTTTTCAGATCAAAAATGATTTTACTATTGAAATGGTTTTACAAAGTAAATAAAGCTGTTCAACCTTTAAGGCGTAAAAAGCCTCAGTTTCATGAAAGCTCATTGATAAAATATTATCACCAGCAGCAACATTTACCGGCAAACATTGGAACAACAATGAAAACAGTTTAAACTCGTTAATTGTACAACTTTGTTTTTCCCAGCATTTCAACGATTCTTCATCAGTTGTTCAGTTGATACAAAGAAATGGCTCAAAGAACAAGGTTAATCAAGGAATAAGAAAATTGTCTTTTTTTTCTCATTACATTTTCTCGAAATGATTTTCTGTGTTTACTTTTTGTTATCATTACCAACTGAATCATTTCAATCATGATCAATGAGAAATTCATTTACAGTGAAAAATAATTTTGTGGATAATTTTATTTTTTATCAAACGGAACGAAACAAAAAACAATTTGTTTTTGCTTCTTTTTAAAGTCATCAATTTGCTCTCTTCCGCCTTCTCCTGATTATCATGTGGAAAGCCTTTGGAACGGATACAGATAATAATGATAATCGACCTCACATTGGTTACTTCCGACCAAGAATATCTTCAATTTCCGGTGCTTTACATAGTTTAACCAAACAACGTTTCCTGACTCCACCGACAACCGCCGTAAAAGATGAAGACTCGACTCGTAACCTGGGCCCAGTCAGTGGAGGCCTACCCTTGTCTACAAGTGGAGTTATTGGTGGCCTTGTGGGCGGTCATCCATTCGGTGGCATCAACCCGTCCTCATTCGATGTCTACTCATTCGATGCTTCTCGTATCAATGGCGCTTGTCTGACTGGGACTGTTGCCCCTTCACCAACTCGATCCTCATACGGTGAGCTTCTTGCCTATTCACGGTCACCTTCAGCTCGAGCATCAATCGACTCAACAGCAGCCCATGCAGTCTATGATATTGACTTGGAAGGTAAGTAACATCAAGTTATCTCAATGGATGAACATCACAAATCATTAAACTTTAAAATCAGTTTTCCATTCATTTGAAATGAATACGAAATGACAAGTTTTCAAACACTTTGAATGCTTGAAAAGATACAAGATTATTGAATAAACTGAAGTTCAATTTTGAAGAAAACTGTTTCTTGAATTGTCAGTCAGTTAATCAACAAATCTCTGGTTTCCTTAATTGGCTGAACTTTCTTTTTCTTGTTTCTATAATTACTTAAATTAGAGTTTAAAAGAATCTGTAAATTCTTATATTTTTTGACTTTAATTTGCTTTCTAAAGAGGTTAAAGTTCAAGTCGGTTGACAGTGGAAACAGATTGGATTTTGAAAGAAACATTCTTGTTCTGCTTAAATTTAATGATCTAAATTTACATTTGCAAAGTTAACTTGCGTTGGTTTGTACATTTACTCTGATTAATATGATGGAATCCCACTCGATGCTCTAATAATAGTTTAATATTGAAAAAGTATTTGGACAACTGGAGTTCTCAATTGAACTTACAGATGAAACAAACGAGATGTACAATTTTGATCAACCATTCACATCCTAAGGCCATACATTGACCATCAGCTTTTAACTTGACCATTATCCATCTACATGATCACAAACTTTATGCACAAATATAAAAGAAAGGCTTCCAGGTAAAACCTTAATTGAGAGTAACCCTGTTTTCATGAAAGAATCATTTTTTCCTTTCCATCAATAAACCAAAAATGTGGAAAGTGAACATGAAAATATTCAATCAGTTGAATGCTATTCATCGTTGATCAAATGTTTGACTTCAAACTCAACCAACTTGCTTGACTTAAATTACTTTACATCATTGGTTCCATTTCGCATCACACTTGCAACTAAATGAAACACATTGATAAACATTTCTGAGGAAAGCTCAAAACAAATTCCAGTTTACTTAAGAATCCTTTAAAATGTTCAATAAAAGACCAAATCGCATGTTAACCAATATTCACAATCTCAAGCATTCTGGTCGTTCTTCAAAGTGAATGCTTCAACTCAATGTTAGACTAAATTATCGTTAAAATTCCTTTAATATTTATAAGTTGAGATGAATTCGTTGAACATGTTTGAACCATTTAAAAGTAGAATCATAAATAAAGTTTAAGAGTTGAGTCGCTCATGAAAAAGGTAAAATATGAAATGAAGATCCTGAAGAAAGCTTTGAATAACTGACGATCTTTTCATTTCTAGAGTTGTTTAAATTTGATTTGATTCCTGGTAAAGGAATAAAGGAAGAATTGGATTCTTAAGGTTAAGATGTTAACTGATCGATTGTCTGGCTATTTTGCATTATAATTGTCAAGTGATCAATTGTAACCAGAGTAAAGTTGAAGTTTGAATAAAAAGCTGAAAGTTGACCAAATGTAGATTGAAGAGTAAATGAAGACAAATCAATGGTAAACTGTAAAGGTTACCCAATGAAAATGTCATTGAGAAGGATATGATAATTTATTTATGTGTTGACCATTGTTGTCTTCTTGGTGAACCTGAAATTTGATATAATAAATCCAGATATCCATTTATCAGTTGAAAGTGATGGTGAACACACACAGTTAGTATACATTATTAGAAGGTTATCCTTCAGAATGATTCAGGTTCTGAGTAACAGTTTTACCCCTTTCAACAGACTGTATCCAAGTGTTTCGCACGGTTGCCTTTATAATGGAGTCCACAAAAAACTGTGAATAAAGTTCAAGGATCTTGGTCAACCATATCAATATCATTCACTTTCACTCCAAGAGAGACTAAGATATATTTACAGTTAAAGTTGAACATGAAAAATGAATAAAAAAAGCTCAACTGAAACAAGTCAAGTCAATCATTTCTCTCTTCATCATCACTCAACAATTGAAGATGAAAAACAAAAAACAAAATTGTATCAAAATGCCTTTAAAAATGGCTAAACCGATGAAAGAATGCAAATTTTCATTTCAATTTACAGATCATTCTTTATTCAATATTCAAAGGTTTTGTGAAGACACAGATCAATGTTCAGGCTTTCACCATCATTATCATGTCTGTTGGTCAGTTTATTAATGATATTGTTGGATAAATAAAGTTATACAAGATGAACACTTAATGTAACTCGAAAAGGCTCTTTTCACTGTTTAATAATAAAATTGATTGATTTTGATTGAACATCATTATCATTGAGAGCACTTTTTTTAGTCTCCATTTTTATTCCATTTTTTCAACTTCGTTTTTCAACATTTCACCATTAGTTGAGTCGACAATTGAATTGAACATTTTTGATTTCTCTTTTTGCTTCGAGTTAACTTGGTTTGTAACTGACTCTTTCAGGTTCTTTGTTTGCATTGTCAAATGTTCATAATAATGTCTTCCAACAAGCAAACATGCGAATAGAAAGAAAGGTTTCACTTTCATTTCAACTGTTGACATTAACCTTTCTGATTGTAATTGAGTAAACTTGACCTAACCTTAGACATTGATTTACAAAAGAAGCGATCACATTATTTTTGCATTATTATTGTGCCAGCAAATTCAAGTGTAAACTCTGAACAAATTGTCTCTTCAATTGAACTCCATTTCAAACTTGCATTCCCAGTTTCCCAGGCAAAAGGGTTGAGCTTGCTGCTTCGTTTAGCTCAACATAACTTATCGAGTTATTGCATCATTATTGCGACAAATTAGATTGCAAACAAATTGTATTGTTGCCATTGACTCGGCTTTAGTCTAACACCAAAAACATAAAATTTTTGAGTGAAAAGATTTACTAATCACTTGGAGCATCATCCAAATGCTGATGCTTCTGATGCTTATAGTTAATCCAGAATAATTGTCATTATTTTCACTTCTATTGAGATTCTATTGATTCTGTGATTAATCAATAAGGCAAGATTAACAGTGATCAGAAGAACATTTGCTTCTCGAAGTGCTAAATGCTCAAGTTGCTCAAATGATTATTTATTAACCAGAATATATTGTAACAACAATAATTATAGCAAAATGGTAAATTTTTTTCTTCTTTCAACCAACTTTAATGACAATTAATCCTCTACAAAATCAAGGTTAATCACGAATAATCATAATCAGCCAACCATTAATTCTAGATCAAGGTTGACTATTAATAGCTTGCAATGTCTATGCATATGCATGAAATGGTCATCATAAATTGTCTGTTCAACTTTTGTACCTTTAGCTTAGTGCCTTGCCAAATGATTTCCTAATTTACATTATTTGTTCATGAAACCTTGTTGTAGTTAAAAAGACAATGGAAAGGATTGAAAGTGAACTTATCTCGACTAAATATGGGAATGAAATTTTGTACCAAATTTTATGTTCATTGCAATCATCTGACTAATCTCTTCATTTATGGTCAAAAATGCTGCAAATGATACATTTTAGTACAAGATTATATCATGGATTTCCTTTTTTAGTCAGAGTTTCTTCATGAAGCCTCAAGATTAAACTGTCAATTTAGTTTCAAGGTTCATCTTTTGTTCATCTTTCAATGGACTTCGTTAGATTCACCCGATTTTGGTCGAGAGTCATTATCAAACTGGTCAGCCTGTGTCAAGGAAAGATTGGAGTTGAAACCAAAATAGCAAATCTGTTGGAAAGAAATGGATTTAGCTGTTAAGTTTGCTTGGCTATTAATAATGCAAGACGAAATCACAATTTATACTGATTTGTAAGACGCTTATTTTATTTTTATGCATAAATAAGCATTCAAAGGCTTACAATTATGCACGAATGATTAATTACATTAAACATTTGTTGAGTTCATTTTTGTATGAGGTTCAGTTTACGCTATTTGAACATTTGTGAGTATCATTAGAATGAATTTCCAGTAAATTTGATTATATTGTTAAGAAAAGCACTTTTTAAGCGAACCCAATGGTAAAAAGATTTGCAAAAAGGCAGTTTAAAGTCAAATTTCAATCGAATCAACAACAATCATGAAAATCTTGGCAACTTTTGTCTTCAAATCAGTGCAACAATTAGTGATGAATAGTTGATTTATGGTTTACAACTTCATGAAAACTGAAAGTTTAATCCAACAATGAAGCTTGCAAAACAAAAGTCCATCTCATTTGCCACTGTTAATGAGAAATTTGACAGAAAATTGAATTCATTGGAGCAAAATGAAAATCATTAGCATCAATAAATGCTCATCGATCAAGCAACAGATTTAGATGAACAAAGTTTTCGTTTGAGCAATTCTCAATTCTCAAGAATAGCAACACTTTTAATGCTGATTTGCCGTTCAAAGCTTCAAATGAATGTTAGACTGCAAAAAGTATTCAAATAAGTCATTCGATATTGCAACTTTTGAAAAATTTCTTTTTTATGGTTCTCTTTGCTTCAAATTTTCTGACCTTAAACTGGTCATCAAACATCCAAATTTAACAGCTTTTGATGTTTAACATCTCGATGTTGCTTCAACTCACACTTATTTTGATGTTATTACGGTACATTAACCAGCTACACTTGAACCGTATTAACATCTTAAACGCATCTTTAACCTCGACTTTTGAAAGCTTAATTGGCAGCTAATTATCACCTTAAAACAGTATCTAGATAATTTAGTTTCAGAAGCAATCTGGTAAACATTAGCCATTTCATCTGTTGAGACCTTTTACATAAATTGACATTCAGTGAAATGGAAGTTGATTTTAAACGAAAGATTTATCAACTTCGTAAACTCAATTGGATCGATGTCAACGTTTCATTAAAAATGTGAATTAACTTCAAGTCAAGAGTCACTTGGAGTCAAGGAAACATGTTTAACATTGTACAGGTAATAAACAAATAACAAGGCAAAAGATGTTATTCAATTAAATTATTAAGTAAACACGTTTTTGAATCAATTTTGTTCTCGCTTCTGAAAGCCAACCAAATGTATTCAAAGTGCAACATAATGTGTGCTTAAATTACAAGTTGAAATATAAAAATGAGATAAAATTGTGAGTTAAATGAACAA